GCCACAGTTAGAGCAGTTTCTTATCCCATGTTAGTTCTGTAGGCTGAGTGTGAGACCTCAGAATTGAACTCTTCACTCTCCAGTATTAATTTCCCTCCCTTCACCAACACTTGACTAACATTCCTGTTGTAACTGTGAAATGTTCCACTCTGGTCACCAGCCAGTCCTTGGCCACATGCCTTTCTGTTATCTATTGTGGTTGTTTTGCTAGAAAACCACTTTCTTTTTTGTGTAAAAACAGATGGAAGCTGTAAGAGTAAGCTCTAGGCAAAAACTGAATCAATAATCGAGGACTGCTACTGCCATGTTTGATGAGGCCAGAAATGCTTTTAACCCTGATTGACTACCACCTTTGGTGTTGGTTACCGCCGGTGGAATCTGTTTCTTTCTGCATCTTTGTGTCTTTGTGAGAAGCTCCTTCCTGTTGGTTGGAAAGTGGCATCTGCCCCAGCGTGGGGTCAGTCTGTAAAAGGACCTGGACAACAGAATAGCTGAGGAAGACAGGCTAGAGTGGAGGACAATGTGAGCGAGCACCCAAAGCGGCGATTACAGCCGGTGATGTAACCAGACATAATGACACACGGGGCTCACTGTAATTCATGGCTTCCGCTGAGCCCGGCGCACACACAGTGTAAGTAAACAAACGCACCACGGCGGGAGAGATGAGGAAACAATGGGCAGGGACGGTGTGAAGGTGATGTATCTGCTCCCTCTGTGTGGGAGGATCCATGACTGCAGGAGGAAGTCATTTTTTTACCTCCACCAGATATCCCAGTCTGGTACTCAGAGTTCAGGTTGTGCATGTTTGTCTTGCTTCTCTGGGTGATGTGTTCCTAATTGACCGTCACACTGCACTGACGTGTCAGATCAAACTGATACTGGGCTTCATTACACACTGCACGATGGCATGTCAGAACACTGCAACACTGATGAAATACTTCGTAGGATAAATATCTTAAATGCCTTAGGTCTAATCTACTGTGTTTTTTCAACAGTTTAGGGTCAAATTCAAACCGATTATGCACTGGGAAAATGTATCCCTGCATCCCTGAGGACACGCCTCAGTTGTCCATGAAAAAGATTAGATTTTTAACAACAGACTGTTGTGAAAACAAGTGAAAGAAGCACCACTAGGGGCAGCACTGTTTTCCTTTAAGCATTTAGCCTGGGCAGACAAAATCCTGTGTGTACAAAGTCAATGCGTCTTAGTCATATATCGTATATAGTATATATTCTGTTTATTATTTGGGACATTGCACAACAAATGCAGAGCTGAGCTAGCTACAAGGCTAACCTTCATCAGTAGTCCCTCAAAGCCTAGAATGGCCCAATTACTTAAAAAATATAATTTCATCATTCTTTGGTGAGAAATATACAGTATTACAAGAGCGCTTGGTGCATCCCACAGTTTGCAGAAAAAGACCATGTCAGTTTGATAAAAACAACAAAAGTCTGATACAGTCAGATGAAGTGAAAACAAAAGAGAGCAAAGAGGAAGTGATCTGTGATTCTGAGATGACTCAGCAGCAAACTTTCATTTTGCGTGAACTTGGTTTTCATCTTCTTGCTGCTTGGACTTTCTGTGTTGTGGTGACTAAAGTCAGTCTGTTCTCTATAGTGGTCCTCAGTCTGGAAAGTGAGAAAACCAACAGATTGCAAGTCAGAGCCCTGAACCCTGGCTCTGAATTCCTTCTGAAAAACACAATTTGTTTTCCACCATCTGTTTTCATTGTTTCAAGTTCCACCAGATTAACACTGATCCTCCTGGAAAAAAACTGTTTGTCTCAGTGCCGGCAAACAGGCAGCCACAAACACTCCCTTGGCGGCGACGGTGACAACCGACACCAATACATGCTTGACGAGGAAGTGGACCCGAAAGAGGAAGCGCATTTCTGCTGCGCTGTCATGTCTTTTTTTTTTTTTTCCCAGAAGAGCGATCAATATGTGCCACAGAGGAGTTGAGATTGGTTCCCAAAAAGCTGAGTCAAGGCTCAAACACACACAGGTTTGTACTGTGTGACCTGTGGTGAGCTCAGCCACAAGGTTCACCTCTGCATATCTTTGGGGAGAAAATAAAGAAAAAAATCTCGGTGGGATTATTTCTGGCAAGAAGAAAACCTGTAGTAACAGCCATTTGTGGTTTTATTCAATGGACGTTTCTCCCAAAAAATATGATCAATAAAGAATTCCTGGCAATTTTTTTTATTGGAGGAAATTTGGCAAGACATTTTGGACTTTGCTGGCACTTCTTGCCAATTTCAACACACCAGACACTGAAAACAAGAACTGTTAACTGTCTTAAATAGACCAACCTGATCTACTGTCCTAGAAAATCGTAGATCAACACCAGGAAGCCACAGAGTTTGCCGAATGGCTTTATGAGGTCACGTCACTATTGTACATCAAAGACTGAACTTCCTACACATACTGTGACTAGAAGGTTTGACAGGAACCGTCTCTAATTACAGTTTTCGTTAAGAAAAACAACAGAGGAACTGAACTGCAGCGGGGCTGGTTCCACAGCTTGTAAAATCCAGCATGGGGCAAAGAGGAAACACGGCTGGAATGCAGCCTCAGAGGAAGTGGACTGACAGCTGTCATGCTGTACAAGTGTATATATGTGTGTGTGTCACGCAGGGTCAGGATGCAAGAGAACAACGCTGATGTTGTGTTGTTCCGACCAAAGATACAGGATGAGATTGACGTAACACTCTTCCTCTATTAGAGGGTTTTTTTTGCATGCAGTTTTAAATACCCTCATTGTGGGAAAGGAACAACTTCCTCCAGGTTTGGGGGATTTCCAAAAAACAAACAAAAAAAAAGCCAAAGCTTCTTGGAACTGGGAATTAAACTGCAGCCAGGACTGCAGTACTTGAACCAGATATATATATAAAAAACAATCCAACGGTTTAGGTTAATGTTGAAAACCATCTGTGACAATGTAAAGGCATTATGTAAATTTTAATGCAGTAGTTTACAGCTGCAGAGAGGAAGAAGACTTCCGTT